TTGATCCCGATTTTGAAGTGGGATGCCTCTATGGGTTGGTGGTTGAATTCTCTAACGATCTACATTAAAATATTCCGTTTAAGAGAGGGTCAAAATTTTAGCCTGTTTTCATGTTACTTTTTTCCGTATTTCCAATGGGTTTCAGTATGGGACCCCAAAACTGCACTTCTAAATTCCATAACTTGAGTTAATTGATTCCGATTTTTAAGTGGGATGCCTTAATGGATTGGGGGTTGAATTCTCTAACGATCTACATTAAAATATTCCGTTTAAGAGAGGGTCAAAATTTTAGCCTGTTTTCATGTTACTTTTTCCCGTATTTCCAATTAGTTTCAGTATGGGACCCCAAAACTGCACTTCCGGATTCCATAATTTGAGTTATTGGATCCCGATTTTAAAGTGGGATGCCTCTTTGAATTTGTGTTTGAATGTTGTGGCCAAATAGGATCCCTTTTGTTAAGCATTGTGGGTCACACAGACACTCAGTCCAAAAGATACACGTATACAGTGTAAGGCTTAAAAGCTTATTTACCAGCATTACCATCTATAATCACTGCTGCAGATCAAGCTACTCAGATCAAAGTTTCTACTATTTAAGAACAATTTACGACCCCACACAGCTTTTTAAAAGGACTCATTTAACCCAATTGGCCTTACAGAATATATAGCTTTGCGCGTTGCAAAATGATTCAATCTTTTAAACGAAAGCCCACCCACCAAAATCGATCCATCCGAGCAGTAAATGTATCCAATAAATTGCCGAGCTTGCCGTCTGAAATTTTTAAATAAATAAATCTGAAAGTTATCTAAGCGTGTCCAAATTCGATTTACAGCTACAAAAATTGAGCAAAAACAACAGGGGGCCGTCATGAAAAACAAAAGAATTGAAAGAACAAAATAGAGCGAGAGTGAGAAGTTTGAATTGGAAACAAAAGCGATGTGAAAAAAGGGGAGGTAAACACTGAGTATGGCTGAAAAACTTTGGCAGCGCGAAATGGAATAAAAACACTTTTCACTGCCAAATTTTTTGAAACAAATATAGATAAGGGCTGTATTTATTTAATATTGTATGTATGGTTTTGTTAGGCAATTAAAAAAACAATTTCTATGGTAAATTGAACCAGACGAATATGACATGAATAAACAAATTTATTGAAGTCGGTTATCTTTTTCGAGTAACAATTATTTAAATTGAATTTTAAGTGTTTGTTATGTTATTTACCACTTATATACCTATTTCTATGATTTACTGCACCCTTGTTGTAATTTTAATATATTTATCATAGCATTTTCCTTAAAGTCATTACCAGCATAAATGATTTTAGGTACTAGCAGCATTGCCACCCATATGTCACCCATCTTAAGATCCTAACTTTTTTCAATCTCATTCTAAGTTATATTTTGTAAGTAACTTTTAAAAAGTTATGTTATCAATCTTAAGATCCTAACTTTTTCAATGATGATGATGATAATGAGATATATTTTTTAAGTAATTTTTAAAGAATCTTTACATAAAGTTATATTATCCATCTTAAGATCCTATTTTTTTACAATCTCATTCTTTTTTAACAATTTTTACAAGATTGTATCTTTATAAAAAAGTTATATTATCAATCTTAGGATCCTATTTGCAATCTCATGCTGAGTTATAATCTTTAACTAATTTTCAAGAAAGAAGAGGTCCTTCGATGTGGTCGACAGCATGGCTTCCCCACGACTAACGGTTTCCTTTGCCGCCGGCCATGGAACTCACCTCACCGAGTGGTGGATAACGGGTCGTGGTGGTCCTTGATGTGGGGAGTGGTGCGATGGTCCTCTGGCTGGTGATTGTTTGTCTATTTATATGCTCATTATGTTTTCGCGCTTGTTTTACCAGCGAGCGAAGCGAAGCGGATCGCATTTGCCAGTGGGTCCTGGGTCCTTTGAATAATGCCCGGCCATACATTGTGGTCAGCGGGTGGTTTTTGGGTTGGTTTTTCGGGGTGGTTTTCGTGGTACTGTGGGTCGTGGGCGGATGGCGAGCGGTGGTTCAGGGACAAAGGATAGGCGGGCACAAAAGTTTGCCGGCGATGCAAAAACAAGGACAGCAATTTGCTGGCTTCTTTTTTTTTTTGTCATCGCGACTGACTCCACTGAATGAAGAAGTGTCCGGCCATTGTCCTTACAATGAAACTGCTTGTCAATCACTTGTGTCCTTCGCTTTTTTGCTACCCAGAGCCCACTCATCAATTAGTCAGCCTCTAATTAGACACCGAAAAAGAGAACAAAATCGAAGGGATTCTGCGGCTGAAGGTGGTTCTTTTATATTATTTTAGCGGGCTTAAAGGATACCAGGTTAAGTTGAAGAGCTTTTGTTCTTTACTGTGTGTGTATCTTTAAACTAAACTAAAATACTGCATTACGTATTGTACATAAGGTGCGTATACGTAATATATAAGATATCACTTGCGTACATTACGTATACGCACCATATACTTGAATTTATTTATTTGTTCTATTATTTCCTCCAATAACCTGTAAACTCTATCTCCAAATGGATATCGTATCGCATTCCCGAAGCTATATCCTTCATAAATATCATCTGACCACAAATCCCAGCTCGTTTTGGCCCAAAGGAGGTGGACATATCTGATTTCGTAGTTTCCCAGAGGCCCTGACCTGCCAACGAAATGAAACGTTTGCGGTTTTACTTCATAAACAATTTGTGTATATTTCATAAATATTTTTAAACAAATTTCTGTCCGCCATTTTCTTGTTTGTTTTTTGTTTGTTTTGTTTTGCTATTGTTTCTGTTGGCTGCTTTGTTTGCATGGCGGTTACCATGTTTTATTTGCGGGAATTACACTTTTCGCTTTTGGCAATGGGCAAGGATCGGGGGAAAACAGACGAGGGCAACCGAAAGGATCAACTTTTTTCCCCAATGCAACGAATATGGCGGAAAGTCAACTTTACATACATTTGTGTATGTGTGTGAGGGGGCGGTTTATGGGGGAGTGGCATGGGCGGCGAGGAAACTTCGAATAAATGACATCGAGCGGGGCGTGAAAGTTACATTTTTATATTCCCTATAGAAGGATCCATTGATCAATTTATAAAATTTAAAATTTATAATTACATTTAGAAAATCCAAAAGAAAATTCAAAATCTGTGGCATTTCGTGGGCAATATAACATTGTTTTGTACCCCTAATCTTTAGAGGGTATCCCCCATTCGGGGCACTCATCAATTATTGCCGAACATCCTGTCCAGCCTGTACAGTTGTCCCTCTGCCTGGCAGCCATGTGCGTTTGTTTACTCACCCAGGACTCACAGGACACACACGCGGCACAAGCTGGCAGTTGGGGTGGACCAAAGTTGCACTGCCCACCCCAACCCAAATTCCCCTCCCAAGGGTCATGTTTATCTTGCGCTTACAGTGGAAATTCCCTTAAACTTCATTCGTGTCGCCGTTGTTGCCATTGTTTTGGTCTGTTGCAGTTTTTCCGCACAGTTTGGTCCCCAAAGCATTTTATTGCTCATGCACGCGTACACGGTTTTCATGCAATTTGTCCTGAATTTTCCACGGGAAACGGGGGAAAAAGTCCGCCTTCCTCCCTCAGAAAATGTTGCACTTCATTTGACAAGGACATTGCTGTGGGCAGATGCCTCCCATTTTAATATCACGCGGCATAACTTTTTTATACCCGGTTTTGTCTACCTTCATTGAGACCCCTTTTGCTGCTTTTTATAGATCTAGAGTTTAACGGAAATTCAATTTGCCAAAGCTTTAAGCTTTATGGTTTTATATCCTGCTGTTGATATTTCAAAAGCTTTTTCAGTTACAGGACATTTTTGTAGGAAAAAATCAGGATATAGAAGGCTTGCATTCAGGTTACAATTATAATAGATTATACAATTTTTTGTTTTGCACAAAACTGGTAGAACAAAACCAGGGATAAACAAAATATAAAAGCCATTTTGTTTATTTTGAAAACAGGGGATATCCTTGAAAGCTCTCGAATCCTGTAGAACATCCAAGTTAGGCCCCGAAAAAAGCTCTTTCGGGAGCTTTCTGCAAAGCTAACGGGCCATATGACCCTTTTAGGCGCCATTTAAATTTCCCCACATTTAAACTTATATCCCAATAAAAACACCATTTTCGATATTGATTCTGTTTAGTTTTGCTTCATTTCTTTATTTTCCGTTATGCTTTTAGTTTTTTGCTGCACTGCCAAAAATGAAAACACACTTTGATAAATACTTTGACGGCTTTTAAACCTAACAATAATAAAGTTTTTAATTATACTTTTACTTAGTTTTCTCTCTCTGTCTGTGTGTATGTGAGTGTTTCTGTGACTTACAATTAATATTCCTTTAAACAATTGCCCAAGATAATTAAATAACAGCACTGAACTAAAATGGATATAAATGAGTGGCGTGAGCAAGGAAAAAGAATATTTTAAGTGCAACATCAGCAACATAGTATTAAATAAATATCCTTATGTTTCGCCAATACAAAAAAAATAACTATGATTATTTAAAAAAAAAGATGCTTAAATCCATAAAACGGATATTCAAGTATTTCATACACATACATATATATTTCGATATACATACACTGTATATAACATAATGTTTTCTTTTTTTTTTTTTTAGGCTTATATTAATGTTTTCTTTTTTGTATGTTTTTAACATAGTTTTCTGGTTTTTGTTTGTTTTTGTGTGTGTTTCCTCCTCAACTTATAATTTTGTTTTGTTTTTTGCTTTTTTAATTTTTAGTTGTAGCTTTTTATGTTATTTTTTAAGATTTGGAAATTGTTAAATCATACAGTTGCTTAGGATTTACGCTTTGCTGCTCGAATGGGGAACTTTTGATGATAATGCTTGACAATGATAAGACGATAATGAATATTAAATGGAATTTCTCAGGATCTAGCGATCTGTTCTTCTAGCTTACAAAATTTGACTCACTTTTTGAATAGTTGCTTTCGCTTAACTCGCATTTTTAGTTTTTATGGTAGTTTTTTTTTGCATAGTTTTGAAACGCAAGAAATTTAATTTCTTGTTTACAATATGACGAGTTTGTTGGCTCTCTTTACCTATATATTACACATGTATAGCATATATCTGTTAATTTATGTAAATATTTCTAGAAAAAGACTTTTGAACCACGAAAAAATATTCCAAACGAATCAAAAAGGATAACGAATTGTCCTCTCTGTGTGTGTTTTGATAATAATATGTAATCAGTTCTTTGAGTTCTCAGTTAAAAATGTTTGTTTGTTGTTTTGCTGTTGTTTTTGTTGTTGTTTGACCAAACGAAATCCCAGCAGCTCTAGTCCATATATCATCGATAAGGTTTCCCTCGAATATTGGTTAGTTGACATATAATGCCCAGAAATTGTTTTAGTTAGCCTACTTACAACCTAATATCCTCCAGAACACGCGCGCAAAAAAAAATGTTTTGGGGGCACCTCTCTATCTTTCTCTCTAGGTTTTTGTTTTTGTTTTTTTGTTTTCTGTTTTACTTTTTGTCGTTTTAATAAATAGCTTAACAAACTAGAAACTCGAATGTACAGTGTGGGGCTTGAGTTGCTTGCCCCTTGGGATCTGAATCTGTCTAGGATCTATACTCTATCTACGGTCTCTTGCTCAGAAGGCGGCATCACCGGCATACCAAGGATGCACCCAGGGCGCCGATGGCGGCGGAGTGGGTGGATAGATGGTGGGCGACGGCTGACCGTGTGTGTGATGGGCCGCTGCAGCTGCCGCCGCTGCCGCTGCTGCTGCTGCCGCATGATGGTGTGCCGCCGCAGCCGCTGCAGCATGATGATGATGATGGTGTTGATATGGTGCCGTAAATGCCGCCGCCGCTGCTGCCGCTGCACTTCCGTAGTAGGATGCTGCAGCCAAGGCCGCTGCCGCCGCCGTGGGCGAGGCCGTCGAAGAGGAGTGTGTCGAGGAGGCAGGCGACAGGCTGGCCAGTCCAGCGGCACACACGCTGTGCCTGCGATGCATTATATGTCGCTGGGGTGGCGCCACCGCCGCCTGCTGTTGCTGCTGCTGCTGATGTTGCTGCTGGGGCGGTGCTGCTGCTGCTGCTGCTGCCGCCGCCTGTGACCTTCGCTGCCTATGCTGCTCCCATTCGGGCAGAACATTGCCCAATGGTGGACTCAGCATGCTGGCCGCCGCCTTGCCATATAAATTAGATAAGTACGCATGCTCCGCTTCGGCCATCTTTTGAGCAGCCGCCGCAGCAGTTCGGGGATTTTTGGCAGCCGTCTGCTCTGCATGCTGCCGCTTCTTCAACAAACGCTGCTGCTCATGCTGCTGCTGATGGTGGTGGTGCTGCTGCTGGGCTGCTGTGTGATGCTGGGCGGCTGGATGGTGCGGGTGTGGGTTGTGGGAGTACAACATTTCGTATGTGTTGCTGGTGGTGTGTGCTGGTGTTGCTGATGTTGCAGGAGAACCTCGGCTTCCTGTGCCAGGTGGTGTGGCAGGAACTGGTGGAGCTGGCGGCGGTGCTAGTGCCCTCCGCCTGGTCAGAACTTCACCACCGCTCACATTCGCTGGCGGTGTGAGGGCCCGTCTCCTCAACGAAGTGCCTGCCACCAAAGTTGCTGCTGCTGCTGATGATGTTGCTGTTGATCTTGTATGAGCTGTGGCTGCAATGGTGCTGCCTGTTGTGGCTGTTGTTGTGCTGGATGTTGGTTGTGTTGTTGGTGTGGTTGTTGGTATTGTGGCTGCTGCTGTTTTTGTTGTGGTTGTTGTTGTTGTTGGTGGCAAATGTTGTGCTCCCCAGCTTAATTCCTAGCTCGTGCGCGTCCTTTTGGCCGGCGGCTGCTCCGGCTGGCGCGTCATGAAGGTCAGCTGCGTCATGTACTTGATGATGTCGCGCACCTGCACCAGCGGCATGTTCTCGTTGTAGTTGCGGTCGTACTCCATCAGGATCTGCACCTGTCGCCTGCGAATATTCCAAGAGATTGCCATCAGTTAGGGTTCGCAATATATATGGGTAAAATATATGTCGGAAGAAATACATCAAATAATCGTCTCATAATATGTTGAATAAACAAACATATGGCTTATCTCACTTACTATATCAATTTCATTTTAGGCAAATTCAAACCAAATTCTTGCTCATTAAAATTGTATTTATCTTCATTCAAACAAGCTCATGTTTATTTACATGAAACTGACAGCATTTTCATTAATGCACTTGTTGAAATTCATATGAAAATTTCTTGACATCTGCCTGCTTTTCGGTTGACTGCATTTCAAATATAATATTCCTTTGACAGCCTTTTAATGAGTTCTTCGAAATTGCAATATCAATTACATTCGCTCAAAATAGCTTGTATTTGTTACAAAAAAAATGATTGGGAAAGCAAAAGCAATTTGCCAACAACTGATTATTAAAAATGTAAAGCTTAAATTTCCATTAAAAATAGCCAAAACTAATAGGATTTCCATTTTTGTTACATAGTTCTATAGTTTTTAAGCACTTTTTTTCTGCAGACATTTCTACAACTTAGATATTGATTGGATTGAATCACTTTAACTAGGAAACTAGGTATTTTTAGAGGCTATTACTAGGATATAGAGAGCATGTATATTAAAAACTCACCGATTCGCCTTGTAGAGCTCCACGCCTAGGGCCTCGATCAGCCGCTTGCAGTGATCCAGTGGCACCGAGGGAAAGAAATTCTTCTGGAACTCGATGAGGGTCATCAGCTGCTCGGAGTCGTTGTAGGCCTTCATGTTGATGCAGGGCACCAGGTGCTTGTCGACGCACACCTTTTGCACCTTGTAGGGCGTCAGGTTCATGTTGTTGGTGGGTATTTCGGGTATGACGCACAACCGTTGGGCGCTATCCGCCGCACTGGCCGCCGCCACTAGTGCCGCATGCCGTTGCAGATGCATGGAGGCGCTATTGGATGAGGCACTACCATTGCCGGTTGAGCCATTGCCGGTGGAACCCGAGTTACTCGTACCATTGTTGTTGTTGCCTGAAGAATTCGCTGAACTGCCGGAATTTCCACCAGAATTCGAGGAACTGCGTCCATTTTGCTGGGCATGCTGGGCATGATGGGCTGCGGCGGCGGCCAAACGTTGATGCTGGGCCACCGCTGCCGCTGCCACCTGTTGCTGCTGCTGGGCGACCGCCGATGAGTGTTGCTGCAAATAGGCCGCCGATGCAGCGAGTGACCTTCGGGAGGAGGACAGATCGATTACGTCAGTGGGTGTGGGTTGTTGTTGTTGTTGTTGTTGGGTGGTTTGTGTATTGCTGTGGTTACTACTAGTTTGGCTGTGTGTCTGACGAATGTAATTACTATTATGATTATTATTATTATTATTATTATTATTATTATTACTCCGCCGTCCGCCTGAATTTGAACTAACCCCTAATGAATTATTATTGCTAGCTAGCGAAAGTATGGCCATGGGTAGATTATTGCTTTTGGTTGAACAAATCACGCTCTTTTGCCGACCACTTGCCCCGCTGGATGACCCCACCACACCGGCTCCACCCGCCCCACTTGTTGATCCCCCTCCACCGCCGCCGCCACTGCTCAGCGGTGATGCCGCCGTATTCGAGGCACTCGAACTGGAACACGAACTGGATGGCGAATGTAGAAAGTGTCCCGGCAACTGTGGTGTTATTGTCACATTCGGATTGGATGCCAATGTCAGGGTGGCCACATTTCCCATGGCCATGCCCATGTTTAGGCCACCCACAACCGATGGCGACATCGGTGGCGATATATACGAAGGCACCAGATGATTTTGATTATTTGCACTATTATTGCTACTGGAATTGGTTTGTATGAATGTCGAGAGATCCGGATTTGCCAAAACCTTTTGTATAACAGCCCGCATCTCGTCCGTCATCACGGTGCACTTCTTTTCGAAATCCTCGAGAGCTTGTGTGGAGTTAAGCGGTATGGTAGTGCCACTTCCAGTACTGGCCACTCCTCCTCCTCCACCATCAGCTGCTCCTCCACCACCACCACCACCTCCTCCTCTTCTGCTGCTTTTGGTCAGAGTTATCTCGGCACCCGAACCATCTGGTATCAATGGTGGCACTATGGGTTTGGTAAAGGTAACACCACCAGATTTCAGACTTTTATTCGCCTTATTGGGATTATTATAGTCCAGCATGGTAATCAGATCTGTGTCCAGTGGCAAGGAGGGCAGGGCTGGAAAGTTCTGCTTTCCGGTGGGATGATGATGAATGGAACTGGGATTGCTGGGATTACCAATGGCAGTGCCAGTACTAGCACCTTTTAGCTGCTGACTGAAGAGCAAACGTTGGGCGGGTGTCAGTTGATTCCACAAGGCTAGATTTGTGTAATCCGCTCGAGTCGAGGGCAGGTTGTAGTTGAAGGCATTGTTGCTGCTGGTGCCAGCGCCAACAGCCACGCCCCCTGTACCGCCGCCGCCGACTCCACCGCCTCCTCCTCCTAGAAGAGCCTGCACATAGCCAGCCGCAGCAGCAGCGGCCACAGCGGCTGCCGAATTGGAGTTGTTGCTGCTGGCATTGTTGCTGCTGCTGCTGTTGTTGTTGTTACTTCTCATGTTGCTGCTGTTGCTGTTGCTGCCGTGACTTTTGGCTAAGGCATGTTGCTGCTGCTGTTGCTGTTGTTGATGGTGATGATGGTGGTGGCTATTATTGTTCTGGTTGTTTGGTGAGGAGTGTTGCTGTGGTGCATGGTTGTTGTTGCTGTTGTTGTTGTTGTTGTTATATGTGCTGTTCTGGTGTCGTTGTTGTTGCGGTTGTTGTGTCTGTTGCTGTTGTTGTTGTTGCACCAGTGACTGCTCGACATTTGACCTAGAAACATTATATACAATACATAAGTCGAGGTGACCGCCCCTTTTTTTTGTTTGTTTTTTTTTTAGCTTTATTTACAATTGTCTTTTGTTTTTATATTAGTTTTTTTCTTTTCTTAAGGACTCTTTTGCATTTTTCAATCGATTTTGTTGTAATTGTCATTCCTCATCAACTAACTAAGTCTTAAAACACTGGGATTTTCTTGGTTTTAATCTCATCTCTTTTGGTATGCATTTGAATTTTGATTTTTGAATCTCGTTGGCTGGCACGTCCCTCATCTTCTTCTGCCTCTTCTTCATCTTCCTCTTCATCTTCATCTTCATCTTCTGCATCCGTAATTGCACTTGATTTGCCGATTTAAACATATCGGAGACATCGATATCCCCATTGCCTTGGCCTTTGCGCTCGACTGCTGCCGATGAAAACAAATGAGAGAAAACCAGGTGGCGATAGTCAATTATCGTTGGTTTTTTTTAAAAGCCCGATTTGTATTTTCATTGGTTTAATGATGTAAATTTGATGAATTTTGCTGTGCTCTACTCTCTGCTCTTTCCTTTTTTTCTTAAAAAAAAAAAACGATTTCTCGGTGCTCTTTTAAACTATATTACCCTTTTCTTAAATTTACATATATTTAAAAACAGAAATCTTACTTTATTGTTTACTTCTGAATTAATATCATTATTTTTTTGAAGGCTTTTTTGTTTGAGTGTTTTGTTTGTTTGTGTTTTTATGTAATTATATGGAGATGCAATAAATATACATCAGTTTGAAAAAGCTTTCAAAAAAGCTTTTTCCTCTCTTTTCTTATTTTTTGCCCCGATTAATTATAGTCTACGTATTTTTCAAGCAAGGTTTTGAAATTCAGAATCGATTGTCATACATTTTTCATCGAGTGATATTACTTCAACTTTTGTACACGCATTATATATAATGTATCTAGGATCTTTCACTGTATTTTGTACTTTGTATCTTTTGGTTTTAGTGGTGTGTGTGTGTGTGAGATAGGGGGAGGGGTTGGGTGGGTCCAAACGGGGTTAAAAAAACCTGCCACCACCAATAAAAGCTTGTTCTCGTTGTTGTTGTTGCTGCTGCTGCCTTGTATTTTTCCCCTTTTTTTATATATGTAGGTATATGTTTTTTTTTTAACTTTTTCGTTCGTCACAAGTCGTGAGTCATACCACGTGTTTGTGTGTGTGTGTGTTGTGTTTTCATGTATGTGTGAGAGAGTTTGAGGTGTTTTTTGTGTGTGTGATAACATTAGGGGTAGTCAGTACACACAGCCATTAAATAAATGTAGATATGTTTTTTGTTGCATTTAGATATATTTAATATATATTTAACCATATTTTATAGGTAAGTCATTTCGGGTTTTTCTCTTTTATTATGCGAATTTATGTTTTTCAAAATATGTTGTAGTTCCTCTTTAACATCAAATTATCAATATATTATACAAAGAAGAAAAAAAAAATAGTTTTTAGAGCAAAACAAGGAAAAGGTATTATCATAATAATATACAAAGTTAGGTTATAACGAAATCATCATCATTCCATTGAAAAAAGAAACAAATACATGTACGTTTTCATATATCTATAATGTTTATAAAGAATTTTATACTACTTTCATTTTTTGAACTTAGTCAAGTCGGGAAGGTCATGCAATCGCTACGGATACTTTTCGGATATTGAGAGTTATATGCTCTGTTTATATGATAACTCTACAATATGATGTATGTACAGATGCGTGTGTGGGTGTGGGTGTAGGTGTGTGTGTGGGCGTATTCGTGTGTTGTGTGTGTGTGTTGTGTTGTATTTTGGGTTTAGTTCTACTGGACTTATATATGGAGTAAGTAGGCGGTAGTGGTGTTAATCGATCAGGTAGAACCGCGTTATCCCAGTGTGAGCGTTATATTCTTAGTCTCCACCTTAGTCGCGCCTCCGATACCGATTGCTTATTTATTTCACTCTACTTTTTTCGAGAGCCTTTCTTGAGCCACCCTAATGCATGCCGTAAGAGGTTAGGAATCTGGAGACCCGAAAATAAAAAAGAGAGAACAAAAGCTCGTCAAGTATTTGCAAAAAGTGGTCGTTTCGAATCGGTTAGTAGTAGTAAGGTTTAAATTTTGTTTTTTTTTGGTCTTTTGGAAAATGTTATGAGGGGAATTGGTATTTTTGTGGTATGGTTGATTGGTGTTTGGTATTTATTTTGAAAAACATAAAATCAAATTCTGTAGGAAATCTAAAAAAAAAAAAAGTGGTAGTTAAACATTACTGCCCTTTAGTTTACCCTTAATTCACTACAGAAAACCGAAACAAATGTAGATTGAAGTTTCAAACTCGAAACCGATAGAGATACATTTAAATCAATGTAAAAAAATTCATACGCTCAAAGATCGAGAATGGAACATTTATTTAGAGATATGTTTTAGCTCTATACTGAATATAACTTTGGGGAAATTACAGAGTTTTTCCGACTAGAAGAACAGCAATAATTGTTCTTTGTATGGGAAATTACGTTTAAAAGAGTAATTAACTTAATGTGTTGCATGAATTTGAAAGGCAAAAAACAAAGAGCAGAGAGATTTTATGGGAGGAACGAGTATTATATTTTATATTTTTTTTTTGACGATATAAAACACAGATCAAAACTTCAAATAAAATGCGTGCACAAACGCCGATATGGTTCGTTATTATATATCTAACATTGAGAATGGGAAAAACAATCGGTGCAATATATGTATATTTTTTTTTTTTTTTTTTTTTTGAAAAGAGCATAAAGAAAGAACAACAAAATATTAAAAGTATATATCGACTCTCCTGAGATTGCAATAAAATCATGTGGGTACCCTAATGGCTGAGCAATTTAGACTTAAGCAGCGATTTCTCAATGTCTATAGCCTACAATTCCCCCCACTACAACCAGCATATTACACAATTACTGACTACTAAGCATTATTTCAAAGATATAGATATATATCGCTAATTAAGCTCGCCACGTCCTTCAACTTATCGATTTTCGGAGCCATCAAAAATGACATTAGATGCATTTCAGCCAAGACATTGAGAACTCAACCCTTAGAGCGACTTAGTAAAATGTGTGTATTATATATGTATAATATAAACAACAGCGAAAAAATAGAGTATAAGGTTTTTGTTTTTTTTTTTTTTTTTTTTTTTTGATATTGGCAAAAACGAATTACAACAAAATTTGAAAAACACAATTTCTGCGCATTTGTATCCGAGATTTTAAATAAAATCAACGTACTAAATGTAATTAATGTAAATATAGTCATAAGGAAAGGCAAAATCAAATGTAGAATCAATAAGTTCTAATTTTTCCTTGGTTAATTTCTTTTTTTTTCTTTTTTTATTTTTCAAGGACAGTAGTGGGGGGAAAGATTTAAACAATCGATAGGAGGAGGAGACTATGGACTGTCGGTTCTACTTACATGTGGTTGGCATTCTGGCCCGCCGCCGAGCGGACGAGGGGAGGTGGGGCGTTCCCGCCACCCCCGCTGTGGTTGTTCACCGAGGACATGGAGATCGCGGGATTGTTGTAGGAATACGGCTGCCGGCTGCCGCCGCTCATCATCAGGTTGTTCATGTGCTCCCGGTAGCTTCCCACGCGATTTGCGTTCGCATGCGTTTGCTGGGCCTAATGGAAAATGCAAGAAAAATGGGGAAAATTAGCTAAATTGAACGACGGCTATTATCTATATATATCTATATATGTACACATAAAACTCTCATTAAAATTGTAGGAAACAAGGCAAGGCTCAAAACAGTAGACATATAGCTTCCGAACTTTTACCACACACTCTTAGTATGGTACCGATTTTTGCTAAGAATTAGAGGTGGGGAAAACATCGCTTTTCCGATGTTTTAACAGGCAAACATCGATGTAACATCGAAAAACATCGATGTTTCTGCACCTCTACTAAGAATGGATTTTGGGTCAAGTTACCACAAACAGCTCCAAGTAAACTCTATTTTGTAGGTCCTGAAAGGCGAAAATCAAAGTAATTTGTGCTATTTCTTTACAATTGAATATCTATAATATCTAATACGGCTAAAAACTTCAGTTACATTTTGTATATAGTCGTAATCAATACTGTTATACAATACTGACCCTACCTTACAAAGTAAAGAACTGACAGTATAAGTACTTCTGCGAAACGGATATTTACCCCTCTCACAAATATTTACCATCCCATTTAAGCCAGACAGAAACATAATAAGTATTGAACACAAATTAAAGTTATAAATTGCCTTTTGCTATTGATTTGATAATTAAATATAACCACTTAGTTAATCGTTTAATTGACCTACTTTTCTACATATGTACGTATGGGCAATTAGCCTGCATAATGAACCATTATGGATCCAGATTGCAATTACCATGGATTCAATTGCAAAGAAGGCGGAAGCTACTTATGGCCAATGCGAATTGGTTCAACTACAAAAAATCAATTAATAGCCCTCTATTAACCTTTTTTTTCGCGCTATTTTAACGATTATATGTACGATTAGAATTACGTTTTCAAGTTTGAGATTTGATAAGATTGTCATTACTCATATCGAGTATCTAGACGGCTAGTATTCTTTTGGCGTGAGTCGCGAGTTTTTTGTTGTGTTTACGTTTCGAAAGTTGGAGGTCAAATTTATTTTTTGGAGGTCAAGCAAAATTGTGTGAACTCTTTAAAGTTTTATAAAATAAATACGAATAAATTTAAAACCTATCTTTATAAGAACGATAAAAATAATTGCCAAGTATTTATTAAATTGCAGATACTAGTGGTATAAGTTATCACTAAAATTGCACTAGAAATTGTAGTACTAATACATAAAAATAAGAAGAAGAAAATTAGAAATCTTGGGTTTACTTTATGCAAGTTTGACTGTAGAGACGATAGCAACAACAGCAACATCAACAGGTTGTGGCCAACACACACACACACATACACACACGCTGAAGCACAACCAAAGAGGGAAAGAGAGGAAGCTAGGGGGAAAGAGATGGGGATGGGCCAAGAGGGAGATGGAGCCACTCTCCTATGCACACCATTCCACCACACCGATGACCTAGTTTTTGATGCCGTCGAACGCTGCTGCTGCGCTGTTGCCAAACTGTGAAAAAATCTGCTAGAAAAAAAGCAAAACACGCTAACACAAACAGCGATTTATATACATATATCTATGTAAGTCCCAACTTGTAAGTTTGTGTGCTACAAGCGAGGCCAACAAAACATGGCCATGCACTCTCTAGAGAAAACCCTCTGTACACCACATATTTTATACCCCCATTACATTCCATTTCCACTTTTTTTTTTTTGGCCCGATCTCTACTGTTCTTCAAGTGGCATGAATTTTCTTCATCAATGATAGCAGCAAAAAAAACTTGTTTTAAATGGGATTCTAAGCTGTGACCTAATTTTAGAAATTTACAGTGAAACATATCAATAGCGAAATTGTTAAACTGATCTTTTAAAACCTCTTCATATAAGGACACCGCCTATATTATCTCGTATAACTATTACATAACCAATAGGTTCAATTAAAGGTAATGTAACTATGGGTGCGATTGCAAAACAATTCCATTTCATAGTTAAACAAAGGAGTGGTGGAAAATTTGTTACACCAAAAATTCTGGGAATTCGGGAGCACCTAAAGTAATGGAAATATTTATTTCAAGTGAATACAATTTTGAATCATGTACTTAACCCTTTGATTATTAAGTTTCAAATAACAAATCCAGTTCCACAAAAAGTGCAAGCAACTGGAGTAGTATTCCCAAATAAATAAAAGGAGAAAGGATCGATATTTGTTTTTACTGTGTACCAAGTACCAAGTATCACATTACAATTACGTATAATTAGGTATTGTCAACGATGTCGTTTATTTTTACAAGGAACGTTATTACATTTTTATAATTTACACAAGTTAACAACAACAGTTTCCTGGGAATATACGTTTTTCCATTTGTTAGAGAGACAAACATCTGTTTAATGTACAAAAATACAAAGTAAACTGAGAATTTGTATAGAGTGTATAGCGTCGTTTACAAGTGTTTCCGTTTGATATTATGATATTATGGAGGGGGTGAGGGTGAGTTTGTACCCAAAAATATGAATTTAACTTGACCAAATTCCTCAGTCATATAGTGGTAACAGCAGGGTACATCTTCTTCTTCATATGGCTTCAGGTTAGTATTTTACAAATGGGTTAGTATAGTTTAAGGTGCGAAACAGGAGTAGTATTGCAGTGACCCGAGTTAATGGATAACACTTACCATCATCTGGGCGTGGAGCTGCAGGTTGCTCTGCCCGGACATCCAGCCGCTGCTGGCCAGGGCCTGTACGGTGGCCTGCGAGAGCATCCTGTTGTTGCCCTGCGACTGCTGGAGCATTGAGGCTGCCGCCGCCGCCTGGGAATTGAAGGCCGCCACCGCGGCTGCCCCGAAACTGTTGGCCGCACTGGCCACCCCATTGGCGCCGGCGGCGGCGGCTGCTGCTGCGGCGGCGCGTTGCTTCATCAGGTGTTGCTGTTGCGCCGAGGCCGCTGCCGCAGCTGCGGCCGAAGCATGTTGCTGTTGCTGCTGCGACTTGGAGGTCACCTGTTGACCACCACCGCCGCCGCCACCGCCGCCCGCCGAATTCGAGGACGAGGATGTGGAGGAATTCTGTCCCAGGCCATTGCCACCGCTGGAGGAGGAGGATCCTCCTCCGCCGCCGCCGCCGCCGCTCGACGATCCGGAGCCCGATGTCGTCACCTTGGGCGGCGGCGCCGAGGGCTGTCGTGTCCAGTTCACCGAATTATTGACATTGGCCCGATTGCCAATCAGCAGATTCGAGTCGACCACCTTGCTTGGCCAGTAGTCCTCGAATTCGGTGCCATTGGGGAAGTAGCTCTTGATGTCCGTTAGCGAGATGACGGCCACATTCTCACTGGAGAAGAGCTCGTTGCGTATGCCCTGCACCTTGCAGCAGAACTTCAGATAGGCCAGATCCCAGCCGTTGAGCAGCTCCGCCTTGGTCTTTAGATTCTCAGTCTCGCCCTCGAAGTAGAAGAGCGGCACAACCTGCTGGTTATTGCGCACAGTGTACGGCACCACCGATTCCTTGTTGATGCGAATGAAGCCGCATTTCTCCGATGGCGTCTTGCTGCCGGAGACCAGTTTGCGATAGCAAATGTCGAGGAACTGATAGAACTTGGAGGCATCACTGAGACGCACCACCAGATCCTTTTGATTGAAGATATCGCGACCGAACTCGCTGTCACAATGCTTGTGATTGATCTCGATGAAGAGACGGGCCTCGGCATCTGTGATATAGTAGCTGCGCACGCAGGTGCAGCTGGAGTAGATGTCCGGGTGCAGGCAATTGAGGTACTTGCCCAGCAGCTTCAGCTCGATCATGCGGACGGAGCAGTACTTCTCCGACTGCCTGAAGATGTACGGTATGGACACCTTGCCGAACTGGGCCCAGCCAAAGTGGCCGTTGATGGACTCCTCATCGCAGGGACCCGCCGATGAGGAGGACTTCTTGTCCGAACCGGCAGAGTCGCTGATGGCCCCGTTGGAGCGGCCATTGGCGGCTAAGGCGGGCACCACCTGCATGGTACCATTGGGTAGTTTCTGATGCCGGGACAGATAACTCATGATGTTTGTCTGACCATTCCCATTGGTGATCGGTGGCTGCATATTGCCACCGGATGTGGCAGATGAGCCGCCACCACCGCCATTCGAGTGCTGCATGGCCGCTTGACGGGATGCCTGCTGGGCGGCCTGTTGCTTCTGTTGCTCCTTCATCTTGGCGGCCAGTTCGCGGATCTCGGCGTCATCGGGACGCTCCTGTTTCACGGGCGGACCCAGGGATCCGCCCAAGCTGGTGCCGTGGAGCGGCAAATTCTGGCCATTTGCATCGATGACGCTGGTAATCTGCACATCCTCGCTGGCCATCGCTCCACTCTAGCTCGCTCTCGCTCGCTCTTTCGCTCTTGAATGCGCTTTCGCTTGCTCTCACTCTCTTGGTATCCTCTGGTTGTTGATATCCTTCTTTGGTTTTTCCCCGGTTATCCTTTTTTTTCACAGTGGGCTTGGATTCATTTAAGGAGCTGCATGAGAAATTTATTGGTTATGGGTGACTTCTCGATCAATCAATCACTCAATTTCCATTTCATATGTCAAGAATGTCAAAAATATAACACAAAAATGTTTGGGTGGGTTTTGAACCCGGTCTTTTTTGAAGGTTCACAGCAATTATATTTTACATTATTCACATATCAAAAGGAAATCGGTAATTGTGTTTTTTATTTATTTGTTGTCTTAAGGGGTTTGTAAATATTTTTGTTTTTAGTTAAACAGAACACGGGGAAAAAATAAAGAGCCGGCTTTCTTTCTCTCTCTGACACACTGGTCACACTGGCCGGCTCACACACACATGCACACACGTGCTCGTTCTCTTTTTTGCTTATTTTTTTTTAAGATACTTTCCAAGTGTGCGTGCGCCAATGCGCGCACTTTAATTTGTTGTTGTTTTTCAGGCACACAGCACTTAGTTTTCACATTTTGTTGTTGTTTTTATGGTATGTATATAGATTATATGTATACACTTACACAAACAAACGCTGACTGCATTTTTGCAGTGTGGCAAAAAAACAAAACTATTTTATTCATTTGTCGTTATATATTAGTGGCTGCTTTTCTCTCTCGCTTATGTATGTTTTTTTTTTTTGGTTAATTATATTCCTTTCTGTTGTTGTCGCGACGACGCTGGTTGGACAAAAAAAAACAAGTTGTTGCTGGCGTATTCGCACTTTTTCGCTATTTCGCTTTAGCGCTTTTTCCGCTTTCGACGCCGACGTACGTCCGCCCGTCTTCGCAATACACAAACGAGTGTCGATTGCCGAGAAACAACCGTTCACCGCGCACAAACGAGTGTGATCGTTGTTACGAAAATTATTTCAACGAAGTCAACTGAAAAATGTGTGCGGCGCGGGCAGCGACGCCTACTGCGGCAGCGGATGCAGAGCGCAAAAGAAAAACGGAAAACACGAAATACGACGAACGGAAAACACAACAAAAAAGTACACACTAGGCAGCGCTGTCGGCGTCGCTGCAACGCTGCCACGAACATTTTGCCGAATGGTTGTTGTTGTTGCTCGCTGTTCCCTTTTCGCCTTTTGTCCCCCGCCTTGTGCATTTTCTTCCTCCGCCCTCTCTCTCTCACTCTCTCTCCTTCCTCTCATCGACTAGCTCTAAGCTGCGACGCCGACGTCGACGTCGCGGCCACGTTACAACTTACAGTGGTTTCAAATTATGCAACTAACCCAATATTTGCGGGATCGATAATATCCGATATTACTTCAAAATCAAGAAAATAAATTGAGGATGAATTACAAAACCGATTTATTACTTATCACTATAATCAAACTTTTTTCGATGTAACTTATACATAAATCAAGAAAATAAATTGGGAGCTGGATTATAGGACTGTTTTCGTTCTTCTCAATACGAGGAATAGGAAAATAATGATCGATTCAGGGACCGAAAGTCACAGGCCCACTGGGTTTTCCAATTTTGATGATTGGTATGCAGCTTGTCGTCAAAAGTTAATACATATTTCTTTGATTTTCGAATTCGTACAAACACAAATGCAAATATATATTTAACCCTCTAATTCAACATGCTTTTCTAATCATTCATATCAAAAATACTGTTGAGTTTGTATGTATTACTTATTCCTGAAAAACTATATGGTATTTCCATAGTTCTTGGAAGTAACAGTTTATTATTATTATTATTATTATTATTAATCTCCTTTTGCGGTTTAGTCAAATAAATTCTGTGAATTTCATTATCTTTTCTTTAAAACTAGTTGGAAAAAATGTAGAAAATGTTGATAGTAGTAGAAACATTGTGGTTTCAAACTCAATTCCCCCTTACTTCGGTTATTTCTATATATGTATGTACATATGCACATACATATAATGTTTGAAAACTTTCCCTTTGCCTGGGCTATTTATCATAATTTAACCACGGTGCAAGGAAAGCTTAAGCTACGCTATGCTATGTACAAGACCTACACACACAGGTTCACACAGAACTGCCTGGGTCACAGTATTGGTATTGGTTTTGGTATTGGTGGTGTGATGATGATGTTGTAGCTTTTGCTTTTGCGGGGGTGTGGGTGGGTGGGTGCTCTCTGTGGGCGGAGGCGTGGCGGGGGCGTCTCTATTTTTGGCAGGCAGCAAAAGCAAAGGCCCCTGCTTAGCATTCGATGGCCACCTCTCCGTCTCCGTCGCCCGTCTCCCTCTCCCTTTCCCTCTCCCACTCGCTATCACTCGCCCCGTCCCTTTCGCACCGTCGAATGCAAGAAGTTTTCGGTATTCGCGCGCTCTGCGGCATTTAAGACAGGCCCCGTTCCAACACGAGCACACGACCACACGAACACGAAGTGTCAGCTGCGCAGCTTCGAAAGGTCGGCCCCGACTCTAAACATTTACCCAAAAATTTAATTAGCCGGGTCCAAGAGTCCAAGTCGAATTCCATTGTGCCGCCATCACACAAGGCTAAAATCTTAACTGGCAGTTAAGAACGGGTCCCGAGAAGTACAGTCAGATCAAAACAGATGTTTTGTGATATTCATCAAGGATTATTATCATATTGATTGGTTCTGAGAATTCACGATGTTTTGCTGTTGTTTGTAATATAATTATCACTTGGGTACAGTCGCTTCAAAGTGTTTATATGTACATAGTTAGGTGTTTTGCGATAATCATCAAGGATTACTAAAATTGTTAGTGATATTTTATAATAATTCCTTTATTATTTTGAATAGAACAAGCCTATTCGTCCAACTCTAAACCAGTCACCATATATTTCAATTTCGAACTGGAACGGTTGTTTCATACCAAAATCCAATGAATAAATACGAAATCAACTGCATATGTATGTATAATATAGAACTCAAAGCTTAGTATATATCCTATATATAGCGAAACATAAATAAACAGATAAAATAAATTGTTTTTGGTTTACAAATATTAAAAATATAACAATTTCTTAGAAAGTGGTATACGAACCTACTTTAGTTTGATTATACTATCAATCCCGCTTCCAAGGGTATACAAATGTCGAACATCAACAGAAGACGGTATTAATTGCTAGGAATTCACTTTATGGGTCTCTTTCAGCTTTGGTTTCAGGTGTCTCCCGGGCCTTGTAGTACGTATGATATGACCAACTCCCCGGTGCGTGTCTTTCTTACCGTCTTCCGTTCTCCGAGCTTCCTATTTCGTAGCATCTCTCTTGATTTTAAGTGTGGGTTTTGATTTTGGGTGTTTTGCTTTGCTAATTAGTCAGCTGTGCGTGAGTGTGAGTGTGTGTGGGTCTTTCCCGTATTTTGTGTAGAAGTTATTTTTGTCGATTTTGTTCAGCTTTTTTCCTTGTACAGCTTATGTAAACCCCCTTCTAATAATGGGGTATATGTACAGTGTACCTATGTATATATATACATACATATATGTATGTGCAACGGTTGGAGTGTGCGAAATGTGCATTTGTAGTGGTGGGCATACGCATTCGACGTCGTCAGTCGTCATCGATGCGAACGAAGAGTGTGAGAGAGAGAGAGTGGGTGAGTGGTGGCGGGGGGGAGAAAGAGGGAGACAGCGTGAGAGGCGAGCGTTACGAAAGGCCCCGTTTCGTGCGCGCTTTGCTATGTAAACACGACTAAACATGTGCCTGCATGTGTGCGTCTGCCCGTATGTATGTATGATGTATGTATGTACGTATGCAGACTGTTCGCTTAACCATCAATGGAAAATGGAGGATGGGTGGTTCAAAGGGGGTCTGGGGGTGGTGGGTGGTCCCTGCCAATTGCTTTGATTTTGGCAAGCTTCACGATTGCGCAGGGAAAGGGATGGCGATATTTGGTGTGAGAGAAGAAGAACTAGGAGGTCTATGGAAGCAGGGTTGCATTCTCAGAAAATGCAAAAGATAATTAGATCATTTCGACAGTTATCCAAGTTATGAGCTTTAAAAATGATGTAACATACTCTAGTACTATTTAATTTTACTACTCACATAGATATTTATTGATCATTGTGGATGATTGTTATACAAAACTTATTTTTTGACTACTTAATGAAATACATTATTAATCTGTAATATTATTTGCCCCTGTAATATCACATTTAAAACACTAAACTATATCTGTTTTTGTGAATTTTTGCCGTTCAACGTTTAAGAAAATGTAGTATTTTGCATACTGGGTTTGTGACTCGAATTTAAAATTATGCAGTTTTCCTTCACATTTCTTTGACTCGATTAGCCCCCCTTTGAAGGGGGTCTCCGGCCAATCAATGGGAACCGGACATCCGTTCGACCTCGGCTTGCCCTCTACGCGCCTCCGCAGCCCCCCGCCCCGCCCCCTTTTGAACCACCCGCAGCTCTTTTCACCGCAATCATCCCATTCACCTCCTCACCACATCTCCCTCTCCCTTCTTCGCTTCGCTTTTCTTCTCTATTTTCCTCTCCTCTTTTCACTCTGCACTGCACTTTGCTTTCTGCTTTGGGCTAATGCGCCCGCAGCACCTGAGTGTGTCAGTGTTTGTGTGCCGGTGTTAATGTGAGGGCCGCCCCCCTATCGCACCCACCACTTCTTCCAACTCCCACCGCCCATTACCACCTTTAACCCTCTGTGTGTCAATTCCCACGCGTAATAAGTATGTGCTTTTTTAATGGAAAGTTAGCATTTGCTTTGGAATGTTTGACAATATCGGCTGTATCTTGTAAGACCTATTTAAAATATGGTTAGTAATATCGGAAATGCATTTCATTCATTTTTTATATGTATTAAAATGCGAGTTTTAAGGGTTCTTTTTCTAAAAATTCAAGGGTGGGTAGGTTTAGACAAAGCATTTATGTACCACCATATTTCCAATAGGGTGGTATGCTGTTCAAGTCAAGGACTTAACCGCAAAGATACACCTGTAGAAAATAAGGGTAGTCCAAGCCCAAGAACTAAGAGGAATTACAGGTGTTTCTTTAGTTGTACTTAAATTCTAGAGCCCAAAATTCTTATCATAATACATTCCTTGTGACTAAAATATATGCTAGAAATTCTTAGTACTTAAAATAAATACATACATATGTACATATGTATACTATATAATAGTGATAAAAAAACTTTGTTACTATAAAATTTTTATATTTTCCAATGTTTATCGCAAATTCCATTTGGGTAAGTAGTGGGTTAAGCGTTGCTTCAATGCAACTTTTTAGCAGCAAGTTTTTTGCATTTGTTTTGTGGTATTTTGTTGTTGTTTTTGCTTAGTCGGGAAAGAGGATGAAAAGAGGGAGGGGGTCTCCTGCTTGCATTATCAGTATTCCGCATCTTTTGCTTATCATTTTCTGGTTCTCTCGCTTCGATTGTTGTTTTTGCTGCCTGCAGTTGCAATTGCAATCTATGCAAATACAAAATAGGCAAAAAAGAAGAAGAAAAGTGCTCACCAAGTTTCGCCCAAAAACTGCACTAACAAACATACACACTTACATACAGACTTGCATACATATGTATGTATGTATATTGTACATAGACAGGAATACCAACACCGATGCACAATTTAGTTGGCTGCCTTTTATGCACTTTCATTCGCCTGCTGCAGTTGCTCTTGCTCTCTCTGTTTCCTTTGCTTTCTCTCTCCCTCCCACTCACTTAGTTTCCCAGCCCTTGGGAACTTTCCGAACTCCACTTCCTCCTCCCCTCTCCACTTTTCTTCTTCCCTACATTTCCCTTTACACCTGTGTGTGTGTAAGTGTGTGTGCATGTGGGTTGCCATTTCTTTGTTGTAAGTTTTCATCGTATCTGTCATTCAGCACAAAAAGTGCTTTGAAGAACGCGTCATATATTTTGTCACGCTCTCCTTTTCCCCGTTCCTTCGGCACCTTTCGGTGGCAGTTGGCAA